ACATAGCTCAGTGCATATGTGTGTTTTTGTTTTTGTTTTTTTTTTAAGATTTATTTATTTATACAAGCACTGGGTACAGTCAGAAGTGTGGGAGGGTGAGAGAATTCACCAGAGCCAGAGCAGGGAACAGAACAGGCAGACCGACGAAATACACTGCTGAGGGGAGCAGCAGGCGCGGCAGGAGAGGGCAGGAGAGGTCTGTGCGCCATGTGGGACCCTCGCTGGTGGCCAGGGATCGAACCGGCGCTGCAGAGGCTACGGGCAGCTTCCAGCCCAGCGCTCAACCGCTGCGCCTCCAGGGGAGGCCCCATATGTGTGTTTTAAAGGGCTAACAGAAGTTCTGTTTTAATAAACTGTCATAGGGCCTCCCCGGTGGTGCAGCGGTTGAGCTGGTTCGATCCCTGGCCACCGGGAGAGGGTCCCACATGGCACGCAGACTTCTCCTGCCACGCCCGCTGCTCCCCTCAGCAGTGTACTTTGGTCCTTCTGCCTGTTCTGTTCACCACTCTGGCTCTGGTGAATTCTCTCGCCCTCCTGCGCTTCTGACTGTACCCAGTGCTTGTATAAATAAATAAATAAATCTTTTTAAAAAATAAAAAAAGAATGGGTCCCTTCACCTCCTGTTTAAAAAAAAAAAAAAAACTGTCATATACAAGTTTATTACAGTAAAACCCAATAGATTTAAAATATTAACTAACGTGATTTTCCCTAGTGAACATAAATCAAGGCAGTCACTCATAATAACTGATTTCCACCTTCTTAGGTATCAGGTAACAGATAATGGGGAATATGAGGTAATGGACACTGTCAAACAGTATCCAGAAAAGACCCATAAGAACTTACGGATGCCAACAACAGCAAGCATTCCTGTGACTAACATTTTCTCCTAGGTATATCAAAAATAAGAGGCATTTTAAGTATGAACCCCCAACTTTATATACACTGTAATGTTTTACAACTATTATGTTTTTTTAAAAAATTCTCATTTACCTTTGAGATTCCAGTCGTACAATTCCAAAATATCTCTAAATAGGAATAATGAAAAGAGTTCCAATCCTTTCACACAAAAATTCTGAAAAATAAACCAAAATCAAATTACTGTAGTGTCTTAAACATACATTAACTGAAGGTTCAACTTGTTTCAGCCAAGTGTTCTACAAAATGTCTACAAACTATTAGAAACCATGTAATTTTCTTAAAAATGTGGCTACCATCCTGTAGTATTGTTCGTCGATTTGAGACAGAAGTGTAGTGGGCAATAATGCCACAGGCTTTGTAAGAAATGTGCACTTAGTCCTTTCCAATGTAAAAATAAAATAATGTTAAATTTAAAAACTGAAGCCTTCTTTATGTCATATATTCTAATCCAATTATAAAGCATGTCAGAATCGCCTAGGGACTTTTTGTTAATTCAACTTACACATATCTTCTGGCAGGTTGGCTAAGTTTGACCCACCCCACCCCAGCCTACCCTTCCCCTCAAAACACACCCAGAATAACTATCACAGAGTTAGCATAAGATGAGAACTTTTGTAACAAAAAAGTTCAAATTTCTTAATGAAGGCAAATAAAGGGCTATGAAAAACTGCAAAACTTTGTACCAAAATTCCTCCTGTAAACAAGCCTAACAGATGATATATTTACAAGTGAGACTTGTCTCATAATTCTTCCTCCTACTTCTTTTTCTTGGGGTTCATAAATCACCCTGCATGAGATCACGCCAAAAGTCATAAACTTTTACAATAGCAAATGAAGGCTCGTGACCTCAAAAATCAAAATGAAGCAAAAAAGCCCTTCCAAGCTGGAGAATGAAGGGGCGGCCCTTCTCTTTCATTCTTTTTGAAAGGCAGGGAGAATTAACAGGATTTCAGAATGAAATAGGTGCAAACCAAGCATGCGTGTCATGCTCATCAATTCCCTCCTGGTGCTCTTCTGCCCATGACAGAGCCACATTGTTAAACAAGGTTTGCAAGAAGAGCCAGGGGCTCAGGAAATCGACCCCAACTCCAACCTCATGTTAAGTGCACACGCTTGTTTGCTGTCTGGTTGTTATTTCTTAGTGTGATTTGTTGACACCACTAAATTCAAGATCAGGCAATGAATCATTCTGAGATTCACATTAATCTTGCTTTGGAAGTTTAAACCTCTTGCATATATTTAGATAAATCTGCTGCTGAGCATCCGCAATGAAAAACAATTAGGAAAAATTATGTAAATATATGGGAAGAAAAATGAACCCAGCATTGATCTTGTCACTGCAGATAATGAATAAGATTATTCCAGCAGCCATCAGATTGTGCTTCACTACTCTAATTTCCTTTCTGATAATGACCAGTAACCAAAATCTGTCCGCTATCAGAAACAAACTAGAAACAGATGTGAAGTTGCTATCAGCAGATGCAACACGAGAAGAAACTGGTTCAAAAATAGGTCCAATAAGTTGAAAAATGACCCAAATTTTAACCTTGTTACTAGAGCTACCTCTCACTGACCCTTTCCATAGTGAACACGACACTCAGGGGTATACCTGAGGCAAAAAGTTGAAGCTGCCAACTTCAATGCTTTAAAGATATACATGTGGAATGGACAAAAGAGCAAACTACATCAAGCTGTTACAGCATCTTCCCCCTTACCTCAGGCATCATCTCTTCGATGAAATGAATCGTGTAGTCTATGTTGAATCTAATGACTTTACACAGTGGAATCTGTGATAACAAGAATGAGAGGTTCAGTGCAGCAATACTGTCTTACAGGCTCACAGACTAACAAGTATTTGCTACCTGACCCAGAAGGCCATGACCAAATGATAGTGTTTCACCATAACTTAAGCTGCTAACTTATTGTACACAAAATGTAACCACACTGCTGGATTTAATGTCAAGAACCCAGCTGGCCCAGTCTCTATAGAAAACCTGCTTAATGCTGATACTTAATTAATGGTATTAGCAGCAGCAACACAAATATGACAAGAGCCCATTAAAACCAAACATATCGCCTCTAAAGGATCCATAAAACCACAATTAAATACTTCTTCTCCTCAGGTTTTTAAAACTCTTTCAGAATCTCTGTCTCTTCAGGCAGATTGGGGATAATAGGCTGATGACTCAGCAGTTACAGAGCCGTAAGTCACGGAAGTGCACATAACTCATGTTCTCTACCTGACTCTGGAGCAAAAGCAATTGTGGTAATAAAAATAATAACAATGATAAACTGTAATAAAAAACGAGCACAGCTAACACTTATGGAGCCAGGTACCGTTCCAAAGTCTCACACATTGTCACTCAGGTAAACACCCCTATGAGGTCAGTGCATCTACTATCACCAGGGTACAGTGCAGGAGACTAAGGCAGAGTCATCCAGCACCGTGAAAAGGAGCAGGGAGGTGGTGGTCTAGAATTTGTTCCAGACCCCAGTTCTAATCCACTAGAGAACACACCTCTCATTACATGTTCTAATCCTCAAAGTGTATGTGAAAATAAAGGAAGGCTCCGATGAAATAAATACATATTTGCCTTGTTTTACCGATGAACCATCAGATACAAGCCTAGTGCCTAGATATTAGAGGGCTTCCCTAGGTATATTTCTGAATGAATGAAAGATTGAAACAGGGGAGGTGAGAGGCTTCTACAGCGGCTGAGCTGACCAGCTAAGGAAAAAGGAACACACACAGAAGCCCAAGAGATGTGTTAAGTAGGCTTTCCTGGCCACTCAATCCATCCATAAGATGATTTCACATAGATAAAATCATTCTTATAGACCACAGCAATCAGAAAACGACAAATTTTAAATCTACCAGCCAAAGGAATTGCAAGAAAAATAGAAAACTGGTGTTATAATGCCATCTACTGGAAATGTTTTCCTCAGAAATGAAGTTTAGTTATTAGGTGATTTTTCATTTTTTTTTTTTTAAAGTTCTGTTTTATTTTATGATTGCTTAAAAAGATTAGAATCACAAATTTGTAAATCATTCATATTTTTAAAATAATTATACTTTGCTCACAACAACTATAAGATCATAGTTAACTTGAAAACAAATCACTGCCTTTTTTAAAAGGACCCAGAAGACATGTAAACAACAATAAAATATGATCCAGTCTAACGGGTAAGTGCAATATGAAAACAAGCAGAGACCACAAATCTGATGGGTCCAGAGGAGAAGGGAGAGAGGTGAGAACTTAGATGAAGCCTATGGGTGCTTCTGTGGTGAGCGTGTGAAGGTGACAACACCAGAGGGGGCAAATCCTATACTGTCAAAACACCAGCAAGGATGTAAAATAATGGCAAGTCGATAAAATAAAATTTTTTTTTTTAAAAAAAAAACAAGCAAACAAAAAACTATAAGGTGTAAAAGAACAAAAGCTGAGGTAACATTTTAGCTGAGTCTTCAAAGATGGGAAAGGATTTTCTAGGTCACATAGAAAAAGGATGAAGTGAACAGAGCGAGAGAAGCAAGGGGATTCTAGAGAGGAACGTATGAATGATGTTATGCCTCCCTGATACTCAAGGCAAGGACTGGGGATTATCTTAACGGCAACAAGAAGTCATTCAGGTACTTCGAGTGCGAGACTATCACCAATTCCACTTGGGTAAGTCAACAGTGTGGGAATGCCATAGAGGGGAGCAAAGCAGGAGACCAGCAGACCAGCCTGAGTCCAAAGAAACAGTCCAGGAGACAAATGAAGAGAAGATTGGAAAGGAGGAGAAAGCTTTAATACATAGGAGATGTTACTGAAATACATACAACAGAAGAACAGAAAATAACTTCCAAGTTTCTACCCTAAGGAAACAGAGAGCTCACAATACATTAATATGAAAGAAATCCACAGGGAGTCCCCCCCGAGTACCTCAAACTCAGTTAATGGGTAAGTGACCAGTGCCCAGGCTGAGGGTGAGGTGCCTGCAGGCACATCAAGATGGGCGTGTCCGGGGCAGTCTGGAATGGGAGTGTGGAGCACAGAGCCCTGTGTCGCAGCTATAATGTCAATTAGGTGGGGGGCAGAATGTGCACGGGGAGAGAAACCCGGGGGTGAGACTGCATTCCTTTAAGGAGAGCACATCCCGGAGAGAAAAGGACCAGGGGCCCTTGGGAATGGTCCAGGCAAGTGAAGAAGGTGTGACTCCTTCTCCAGTGCTAAGGCACTCCCCCGAATGACTTAGGTAAGTGCGCTCCTGTCCCCACTGTTTTCAACTGAAATCACTTTTTGGAATTCCCTCTTTGACTTCGTCTCTTAAACGTGTTAGGAGTTGGCACCTCAACTCCGTCCGGGGTTCCCAAAGACTACACAGAGCCAGAGATGCAAAAGCAAAAGGGCTTTATTGCTAGCTTAAGCTAGGGCCCAACTCTGCCTGGAGTACTGACACAGCAGTCTCACCAGGTTCAGAGAGGGGTCCCCTCCCAGGGTGACAAGCTGTTTTTGTACTTTGTTGACAGGATGCCAGGACTTTTCACACCAGGGGCAGGTTCCACCCTGATTGGATAGCTCTCATGGTGCCAGCTAGGTCTCGTTTACCCTTGGCTTGTGGTTTTTGCCCTGAAACGAAACCTAGCTGTGCCCTTCTGAGATGGCAGTTATTTCTCAAAATGGCTGCAGTCTTGCTCATCTTACAAATGTATTTTTCTTTTGGGTTCTCATCCGCACCCTGAGCGCCCTTCTCAGACAAACATATTTGGAAAGGCAGATCTACTTTTCTATTTCAAACTCTGACCTCTCCATAAGACCCAAAGAGAACGTATCATTATGCTTCACATTGGAGCTCAATTGATTGGAGCACAATAGCTCAGTTAAATAATACAAAATTTTGCTATCATTTATTCAAACATGTTTGAATACTGACTGACATGAACTAAGTACTATCTACCAAAAACAAACCAAAAAAGTCCTCATTAAATTCCCCTACTTCCAGGCATTAAATGACTAAATCCAGAGCACTGAGGGCACTAGAATGGAAGCCAACCAAGGACAGAGGGAAATGACTGAGGAGTTTTCCTGTACTTTTGAGGACAGGATAAGATTATTATGAATCCAATACATATACCTTTATAACTTGAGTTGTCAAAGTCCTTAAATAATGCCAAGTAGTATAAATAACAGCATAAAAGGATAAAATTCTTCTACAATGCTCTCAGTCAGCAAGACTTTCAATCCACTTCAATTCAAGAAGAGTTCAAGAGAATTATCAGGCCTAGATTTGGTTGAGATCCTAACATTTCATCATTTGCATGCCCTTCATTCTGATGTGCTCTCTCCAGCAAGAAGATGAAATCAGGCCAGTAAAGCAATTTAATGCTTCTTTTTCTTGGGAAGCTATTTCAAATTCAAGAGGCCTTTGATGGATCTAATTCCTATGAACTATACAACACACAGCTTAAAACTCAATTTATTTTATCAACATCTCTAACATAAACGATAGGGTTTATCTTCTCATTACAAAGCTAGTTCTCAAGTTTTGAGAAAGTGAATATTTATATAAAATATACGCAGAAGCCAGGAATTTTTTCAGTCCTAATTTTTATTTTATAACAATTGCACAGGTGCAATTAATTTAACGTTAATGGTCTCTCAGGACGAAACCTTGTGCTGATGCCTTCAATAAAGCTGAAGTATTGTTTGACCAAGGTCTCAAAAATATTAAGAATTAAAAACAAAATTAGGGCCTCCCCGGTGGCGCAGCGGTTGAACGCTGGGTTGCGAAGCTGCCCGCGGCCTCTGCGGCGCCGGTTTGATCCCCGGCTGCTCCCCGGCCACCGGAGGAGAATCCCACATGGCGCGCAGACCTCTCCTGCCGCCCGCTGCTCCCCTCAGCAGTGTACTTCGGTCCTTCTGCCTGCTCTGCTCCCCTCTCTGGCTCTGGTGAATTCTCTCACCCTCCCGCGCTTCTGACTGTACCCAGTGCATGTATAAACAAAACAAACAAACAAATAAATAAATAAATAAATAAAAACATGCCTCTATTAAAAAAAAAAAAAAACCAAAATTAGAAGAAATTTGCAAATACAGGGCCCTCTGCATCTTTCCCAAAGAAACAGCAATATTTACTATATGCCAAACACCATGATTAACACCTTCCAGGTGTAGTGCTACAGCTAATGCGTCTAACTTATAGATATGAGGAAACCAAGGCTTATAAAGATAGAAATGTAGAATCAGCTAGTAAGTGGAATTCACTAATATTTAAATTCTGATCTCTATGCAGTCACAATGCTTTCCTTCTTCGATCAAGGTGATCCTAAAAGTTAAAATGAGATGCCTTTCACTTCTAGGGAATTAAGAGATGTGACAGATAATTTTAAACATCCTCATAGTAAAAAAAAATTTTAATAAATATATGCTTTAAAGGCCACTACAATTTTTTAATTTGCAAGCTTTCTGAGAGGGCTGTAATTTAATTTGCAAACCCTTTAAGAGGGAGTTGGACTAGATGACTTCTAAATTTGGCCCTTTCTAACTTGACAATGAGATTTGGTATAATAAAAGGTTTGAGTGTCTAATTTAAAAAAACTCATCAAAATTTAAAAATCAAATGCCTTTTCACAAAGATTGTTTAAAAACAATCCAATATCATACCCTTTTCAAAATTATGGTGCACCCTGGACATAAATGCAGTATGCATTATCAAATGATTTTACTTTTATATTCTCAAAGTAATCATCTTCTCAAAGAAGATTCTCTAGGATTAATATACTCTGGAATAAAGTTTCACTAGGAAAACATTTTGTTTTGATTTAGTGTCATGTCTACCTATAAAGAAAGATGATAAAGACAGAAAGGAATGAGGCTAGGCAAAGATTTATTACATTACTCTCCTAAGGAACAGAATTTCAAGTTCTAAAAACACTGCACTAAAATAACTTTTCAAACTGCAGATGTAATTTCATGTAAGAAAACCAGAAAGGATTAAAGAACATTCTATTCTGATGCAGACACACTACAGCTTTAATTCAGTAAGTTATATACTGGTGTCTAGACTGGATAAAGTCTACTACTACAGGCTCTTTTTAGGCCCAACAAACTCACTCTATATCCAACTGGAATGTGGAATAAGAAAGATAATTCTCAAGACTGCCAGCACTGAGACAGAAAAGTTTTGACACACAGATACAGAACTTCCATTTGAAACAATAACCAGCAGAGAAACTTTAATACCTGCATAAAAATATCACAGATCTGTATGTCAAAATCTCTTAAAGAAGACATATTCCTGGGATTCAAAATGGGGAAACGGGATGAAATTAATTCAGGCTCCAGATGTCCTGAACAAGTCTTATTTCTTTTATATGCTCAGACTCTAAATAATAGCTTCTCCTTAAAACTTTCCAACTTTCTTTTGAAGGACACCCAACCCAAAATAGTTTTGACACGTTACTCCACAGTTTATCCTTCTTTTTCAATCTTTCACACTTTCAAAATGTTATTCTGACACATGTTTACTTACACCACTTAATGTGAACCAAACCTGTGACTCATTAGCACAGATGTCACACTCCCACCTGACACACTGCCACAGACTTCCTGCAGTTCATGCAGAGGGACACAAAGTAAATGTGACTTAGAAGTCAGATGAGAGGAAATCTATTTTGGCTTTTAGAAAGAATTAAGGGAAGGCAGAGGTATGGGGAAAGAGAAAGCCAGCCAATTAGCACATACTTACATTGGTCAGGGGGGCGTGTGCAAACATAGAAAATCCTTCAAAGATATACTCATGATCATCATATTCTATCACAGTTGGCCTGTCAGTCTAAAAGCAAACAGAAGCACAAACCATGAATTAAATAAAAGACATGATCTGCATATGCAGAAATCCATCAGGACACGAAGCCACCAACAGGAAAATGTGCAAGCATTCCATTAAAGTTTTTCCAAACACCAGGGAAAACTTTATGCAAAAATTTTAGATGGAATTCTCATGCGTGGCAGATTTCTCTGGCTTCAGTAATATTTATAGTCAAAGACAAGCAAGTTTGTCATGGATACCATAAAAGGGGAAAAAGGCTAAATGGCTTCATTTTCTAGAAACCTGTTTTATTTAATCCCACATATTACCATCTTATTCTTACTGAACAGTATTTCTGAACTAACAGGAGTCCTAACAGGAACAAGATGGTAACACATGTAACAAGAAGCTCAAAGTGGAAAAATTACTCAGTATCACTCTGGTCACATGACTAGCAATAGCCTGGAAGGCTCTGAAAGGGCTCAGGGTTCTGTTCTCAAGTCCTTGGAAGAGAAGCCAACCCACCAAACGCCACAATCAACTGAGTCCTACATAATCTCAAAGACTTTTAACCTGAAAGCGGAATCAATAATTAAAAAATATAATAAATGTCACTGCAAGCATAAAGAGACCTCTTCCTTATGCCATTCTGATATCCCACTATTTTTAATCCTAAATGCTAACGATGGAGTAATTATCAAGATTGGTAGACTAAAAGATACCTTTTTCATATAGGTAATGAACACTAATCTTTTAAACATCATATATGTGTATGTGTGTAAACAGATGCATATATATATATAGACATTTTATGTGAAGAATTAAGTGGTACTAAAGAATATCCAAATATACTTACTTGTTTTGCCAACATTGCTGTTATTTTTTATCTGAGCAACTCAAGAAAGCTATTCTGAATTAGGTATAACAACTACAAATATAAAGAAATATTAGGCATTATTCTTACTGTGATAAGAATTATAGATTTTCCTGTTAGGGTTACTAGTTAATATATAAACTATTTATTGATTTTTTTAGAATTACAAATATGTTCTGCAAATTCTTCCAGCTCCAGAGGTCCAATGAACAGCTCCATAATTCATTGGCTATCACATGATACCAAGTATACAAATGAAAAAAGGTACAGAAAGTAGTACAGGGAGAGGAACCAAAATAACAAACATACTAAAGGTCACCATAAGAACAGAAGAATAAAAGATGTTAAAAGAAAGACCATTTAAGAACTGTATCAGTATTTAGCCTACTCACATCTTAATTTATTTACATACATTCACTTATTTACATTTTAAAAGAAGTCAAATCTGATTCTGTCAGATACTTACTAAAAAGTTTGTGGGTGGGGAGACTGTAATTCGATAGTGGAAAAGTCGGCCAGCATTGTTGGTCATGGGTCGGCAGGGCTTGATGGCCTGAGGGTAGAAAAATCAAAAGCAAGTTTAAAAGTAAAATAGCCAAATATTTTTCTTTAAAAATACACTGCCTTGGGCCTCCCTGGTGGTACAAGGGGTTAAGTCTCAGCACTATGATGCTATCAGCAACCACTGCAGCATGGGTTAGATCCCCAGACAGGGAGGTGACCCACACGATGCAACAGATCACGCATGTCTTGCCCACTGCTCCTGTCAGCAGTGTATTCCAGTAGATCCACCTGTTCTACTCCCGAGTCTGTCTCTGGTCAATCCTCTCACTGCCCCCACACTTCTGGCCTGCACCCCAGCTCTTGTATAGACAAATAAAATCAACCTTTAAAAAAACAAAAAACAAAAAACACTGCCTTTTCTGCTCAGCAACACAATTCATCAGGGAAATGCAAATCAAAACCACAAAGAAGTACTTCCTCACTTCTATGAGAACAGCCCATCAAAAAGACCAGAACAAAGGCCTCCCCTGGTGGCGCAGCGCTGCCCGCAGCCTCTGCAGGGCCAGATCCATCCCCCGCCACTGGCAAGAGTCCCACCAAAAAAAAAAAAAAAAAAGACCAGAACAAGTAATAGTGAAGATATAGTGAGAAAGGAACCTTCTGACCCAGCCCCTATGGAAATTCGTATGAAGACTTCTCAGAACATTAAAAATAGGTCTACATTATGATCCAGCAATCCTACTCCTAAGTCTCTACTTGCAGGATGCAAAAACAGTAATTTGAAGGGATGTATGCATTCCTGTGTTGCCTGCAGCACTATATACAACAGCCAAGTTAAAGAAACAACCTAGTGCCCAAGAACACATTGATGGATTAAGAAGATATGGTTTATACACAGTGGACTGCTTTCAGCTTTAAAAAAAGAAAGAAAGAAAAAAATCTTGGCATTTGTAACAACATGGATGGAACTGGAGGGGACCATACGAAGCAGAATAAGCTAGAAGGAGAAAGGCAAACACTGACTGACTTCACTCACATGTGGTATAGAAAAACACAGAATTCAACAGCAAAACTAAACCAAAACTCTGAGTATGGGCCAGCCTGCAGCCAGCTCAGCTAGCGCAGCTGTCCACCCAGATTGCCCTTCAAAGATCAGCCTGCTACCCAACGGTGACGAGTGCAGTCTGAAGCTGCTGGCTTTTTAGGGAACCTTCTACTCCACAACGAGCCAGGGTTTGGGGTACATCGGTAAACAGTCCCTGTACTACTCACAGTGGGTGGGACAAAGACAACAGCAAACCCTTATAAAGAAAAGTGGTCATGTGCCTCGCATTCACTCGGTAAGATCATTTCTTTGGGATTATTCACAATCATTTATGATAAAAATATGAAAAAAAATTTCACAATATGTACAATTTCAGGGTACTTAAAAATAATAAAACAGTTCAATTGATTCAAAAGACCACCTGTACCCCTATGTTCATTACAGCACTATTTACAAAAGGTAAAACCTGGAAACAACCCAAATGCCCAAAAATAGATGACTAGATCAAGAAGATGTGGCATATATACACAATGGAATATTATTCAGCAATCAAAATAGATAAACTCATGCCATTCGTAGAAACGTGGATGGAACGAGAAGGAATTATGCTCAGTGAAATAAGCCAGAAGGAAAAAGAAAAATATTGGATGGTTTCACTTATTGCAGGAATATAGGGGACCCAAATAAGACATCAGTGTAAAAAAATAATAACAGTACAAAACACAACAAAGCAAAAACGGACAATTATAAATCAGAGACATCCTGCAGGGGAGGAGGCGGGAGAGGGATCAGAGGGAAGGAGGGAAGAGCACAGGGACTGAAGTGAGGGTGCACGGGTGCATTGGTGAAGGAAATTCTATGGGACTACATCTGAGGGCGTGGGGGGAAGCAAATATTGTTTAAAAATGAACAATGATGTAAATAAATTAAAAAAGTAATTAAAAAATAAAACTAAAAAATAAAATAAAATAATAAAACACAGTTCAAATCCACCTTGCCTATTTTAAATATGGACCCTTCCAAAACGCTGAGTGTTTCCTTGATAACATCCCCCACACTCCATCTCCACAAGCCAAGAACGTTTCTTCTCCCATTATCAGTTAACAGAGGCTATTAGGCAAAATGAAGAAACATTTCCATGGTATTATTTCCTTTATGGGGAAAAAAACAGCAACAGCATCTGTCTACTTCTGGATTCTTGGCGTTACAGATATAATAATCCAAAGTGGTTACCTCTTCTCCGGGATAAATGCTGTGTCTAATTCCTGTGCGCCTCGCTTTTGCGCTGCATTTGCAGAGTGGGCCATCATTCATCTGTCAGAAAGAGAATGTAATTTGTTTTTATTTGGGGGGAAGTCCACAACACGCACAATGGTGCCTCAGAAACTGTGTGGTTTTAATGTCATGAGTACCGAAGCTCTGAAGAGGCTGTCACGGTTAGGAGATTAAACGGATGTTCCAAAACCAATAAAGCTGCAAACTGTCTATATTGTCTGATAAAGGGAAACTGTATGACAAGTCTGGATTCCCAAGTATTTGGTGCAGCCAAGCAGAAAATATCACTGTCAGCACACAGTTTGCCCCCATCTTCTCTTAGCACCTTTCAGTACCTTTCTCTATTTCTTATTTCAGAATAAATGACACTTCCACAAAAGAAAGGCATAATTTATACCCTGAAGGAACACAGAGAATGCCTGAAGGTGACCTGCACATTAAATGTTTTCAAAAGAGACCCCAGAAGGTATCTCTGAAGCTGACAGAAAACCTTTGACACCATCAGGTTAGTCATTGTCTGTTTTTCCAGCTGAATTCAGTTTTCTGCTATGAACTGAACTCCAGTCATGTGATTCGGTAAGTGAGTAAGTCCTAACTGCTTCCCGGAGAGAAAGGTGCTGCTAAGAAGGGGAACGGTGTGGAGAAGGGAGGTAAGCAGCTCAGGTTATACTCCAGGATCATTCGTTCCAGAGAGGAGAAATAAGACATACATGACATGCTTAGTGATTTTTTTTTTTTTAAAAAAAGAAACAAAATGTGCATCCAGGTGGAAAAATCCCTGGGGCTGCAATGGTTAGTCGGAAATGCTTCAGAGAGACAGGAAGAGATGATGGCTATTCTACAAGGGGCACCACTATGAGGGGAAAAGAAAAGGAAGAGAGGCTATGTTCTGCTCAGGAACACGAGACCCACCTAAATGGAAAGGATCATTTATATGAGTGAGAAAAATCAAAGCAGAATTGAGGTCAAAATCTTGAAAGGCCTTCAAAGCCAGTTTCACGAGATTATCCAAGGCAAATGGTAATACTGCATCAAAAGGGAGAGAAAAGTATCAATTTGGAGAGTGTGAAAGTGAGTTCCATGTCTCACTGGATTAATTAAATTATACTATGCATACAGAGCACCTATGATGACACACACATATTTCTTTAAAGTTCTAGGGGCTGGAAAATCATGTGTCCAATGAAAATGTCTCAGTAGAACTTTGAAAAGAAATACAGAGTGAAAATTATGACTTCCTTTAGCCTTTTGGGAAATCTACAGTTCCAGGTGGTAGGGCAGAGGAATAACATTACTACCTAAAACAGTATCAAGTGAAGATATTATCCAGAGTAACAGCTGGCAAACAAGATGTAATACGATTCCCTCCTAAGTCACGACACACTTTCATGCTGGTCACAACTTGTGATGAAAAATGTGCAGGGCTCACTCAGTGCTTATGGGTTTCTAGAGAAGCAAAAAGGGTGCTACATTCCACCTTTCAAAGGTGGATATATACTAAAAAACATTAAGTTGTACACTTTAAATGTGCCTTGTATGGTATGTGACTTAGCTGTCATATGGGTTGTTTTAAAAAATCATGTACATGGTTACTATGTCAAAGTAAGTTTTAAAATTGACAATTGGCAGATATTTCTGCTCAATTCTAAGGAAGCTAAAGGGGCCACAAAGCACATTTCTATCAGACATTTTAATTACATTAAGGAAAAAAGATAGTTGTATCTATCTAGCAGGCACCAGAAGAACGTTCAAATTAATATAGAATCACTGGCATTTACTTATAAAAATATAAATTTAAAATTATCTTCTTACATGTATCTAATAATTTACATGCAGCAAAGATACTATTTTTGTATGTAATGTGTATTTGTGAAATACAAATCTTTTAGAAGACACTATTTTATATTCTGTATGACTTTATAATAAAAAGGAACTAAAGATAAAAATGATCCTGTCCAGCTCTCACATCAGAAACTTCAACAGGCTTAACAAGGAAGAGAACTCATAAGGAATTGACTATTACCAAGTAAGAAATATGAAGTCTTACAGGACTTAAGACACTGTTTACTATATTGCATTTCCAGGTGAAATGCTTTTAAAAAGACCTCCCAGTTCTCTCTCCCTCATCCTACCATTTGTCTCCCTCCATTTACTGCAAGTTTAATGAGGCAGCACCATTATCCTGCTCCCTCACATAGAATTTACAAACATCGGCAAAAATGATTCAAGGAACGGCTGCTTTGGTGCTTATGCGCTGGAGCTGAACGTTAAGGTCGAAAAGAAATAAGCTCTGAAGAACGACACAAAACCCTGAGAGTAAAATTCAGCTTCAGTCCCAGCCAGCATTCATCTTTGGAGCCTGGAGTCATAAATAGGGTGTGGGGGTCCGTGACCTTCATAGCAAGAACATAAAACATGCACACCTGGCCTGGGTCGTTGTACCAAAGCTCATCGTGAAGTCGGTCAGGATGGGCCTTTTTGCGTTTGATTTCTGCAATGACGTCAAACACTTCAGAGTCTGAGCTGCTAGAACAGGTGCTGTCCTCGTCGGACTCACATTCAGATTCACTGGAACTTTCTAGTGGAGGTTAGGGAAGAAACATGGAAAGACGTCAAAGAAAGTCACAGGTTGGTTATCTGCGGAGACTTCCAAATGACCCAAACCTCCAAATGCCAGGGGCAGTTGTTGATTCTTCCAGCAAATATTCGAGTGCCAACTCGTGCCAAGCTTGCTAAGCAATGCCATGAAAAAGAATACAGCTCATAATGCTGTGTCACAATCTAGCTGAGGAAGCAAAGAAAACAAAGATTTTTAGAGAGAAAGAAAGACGGAAGAACAATGTCAGAGAAAATGTAAAACACATCGTCGGGCACATTGTAAAGGGCACAGCAATTTAGAAAAGGGAGAGCCTCCCCTGATCCAGAGCAGCCACTGCTGATTCCCTGGAAGGGGGTGTGGGATCCAGGGACAGAGGTGGGTGAAGTTAGAGTAAGAGTAATGAGGAGGAGATATGAGTAAAGGAAGCAGAGGGAGCATTCCAGGCAGAAGCAGAGGCAGGAGCATGGGTGGACATGGCCAGAGCAAAGGCCCCACAGGAAAATACCAGAAGCTGAGGAGTTGAGGCGCTAGGAATGCCTGACTCAAGATTTTACATATTTTTCCCCCTCTCAATAGTAACAATAAAAGATTTTATATCTTGGAAGACCAAGAAAGAGGCTAACAAATAGACCAGTCACAAAAAAAGACAAATACTTTATGATTCTACTTCTGTGAGGTACTTAACGGTAGTCTAATCCAAAGACAAAAAGGAGAATGGTAGTTGTCAGGAACTGGCGAGGGTGGGTTGGGGAGTTGCTATTTAAGGGGTACAGGGTTTCAGTTTTGCAAGATGAAAAGCCTCTGGAGACAGGTCACAAAGTATGAATGCACTTAACGTTGCTAAACTGTACACTTGAAAATAGTTAGGATGTATGTTTTATAGCAAGTCCTCCAATAACGCTGCCCCATTCAATGTTGTCCACTGTAACACTGATGAGAAAAAAGAAATCCCACCCTGCGTTGAACAAAATGACATCATTTAAGTACTTGGTTTCATTATGAGTCATTTTGCTTAAAGTCGCCACTTCCAAGACCCTATTCACGACATTAAGTGAGGATTGCCACGAACTTGTTGACGACGGCATTAAGGATCTACTGTACAAGGATTTATAATTTACTGCGGGAGGATTTACAATTAAAAAAATCAAGGCCTAGAACTTTAATTAATCCTACAAGAGATTACTGTAGTAGAGCACAATAAGCTCTAATCCTTACGCAGTTGTATTTACTGTACTGCAGGAGAGAGATACTACTGTCACCCCTACTTTACCAGTGAGAAAAGTGAGGGGTGCAAAAATAAAATCACTTTCTCAGTGTCACATATCAAGTGAGGGAGCAGAGATTCGAACCCAGGACGGTTTTTTCAGCCAGTGCTTTTACCCACCATGGATACTGCCAGTCAGCCTGGGAGACAAGGGGAGCAGAGAACACGCAGGAAAGGGCACGCTGGGTGTGACAGTATTCTACTAGGGAGTAAGGACACAGTGGTAAAAAGCAGTTCCTTTCCCCAAATAGCTCACCATTGGTACTCTCACAGAAAAAAAACGGAGCATCATATGAGAAAGTTTCGGTCACTGTGGGCAGGGAAGCCTTCAAACAGAGCAAGGCCAGAGCTGGCATTTCCTCATCAAACCAGGAATGCCCTGGCAATGGAGAGGCCTCAGGGGACGCCTCCCCGTCAGAGCCACAGAAACAGAAACTCCTGCTTTCACGGGCAGGAGTGCCATCCTTTCGATGCTACGACTGGCCATTCTGCAGGAGGCGTGATGGCTGGCATGCCTTGCAAATGCCACTACTTACATGCTTTGCTGAACACAACTAAGGAAAAATATGCTCAGATGAGAGTTCACTGTTACATGTTTTACTAACTGCGACTAAGGAAAATGCAATGAAAAAGAGAAAACTTAGATGTGGGAATCTCAAGGACACTCCCCAAAAGTCCAGGATTAAGGAATAACACAAAAGCACAGTCTTGTCTAGTAACTTCTGACTCACCTAAATCTTCATCGAGCTTCGTCTTGGGCGGCTCCCACGGGGGTCGGGCAGCCTTGGCCTTTTCTTGCCGGCTCCCCAACTCTTCCTCAAATTTGTCATATAAGTCGCGGAGTCTACTCGTTCCAACTACGGTAGAATCTCCCTTTGAAAAAGAAAGGATCGATGTTAGGAACTATGTTAGTCAGTCTAACCAAAGAGACATGGAACCTTACAAGGAATCAAAGACTTGTAAGAGCACGATGTCCTGGTTCAACGCTCAATTCAACAAACGCTTAAAAACAAAATGATGGCCAGAATCCAGACAATCGCAGCTGACGCAGATATCAGAAAAATGTACCTTGCCGACATTCAGGAACACTAGAACTGTCCACCTAGGCCTTTTTGATATGACAACAACAAAATCCTGAGCCCCCTGAAAACTCATGATATCTGAGACCCTCCCAGTGAACACACATCTCCTCACCCTGAGTGAAAATCCCCCAGAGCCCATCTTCCACATTAACCCCCAAATCAAAAAATTACCTATATGTCCTGTCCCCGCACAGAGCTCAACACAGGGACACACTCTCTCACACACACCACCCCACAAACCTAGGGGTCCAGCAATGTATTCTTGAAAGTTCCCCACTTTTCCCTCCTCTCTTCCCAGGTTGAAAATCACTTTAAATGTCCATCATCTCTGACTAAGTCATTTCCAAAATGCAAGCAAGCAGAACTTTCAGACATGAAAGTAAAATTAAAAGAAATCATGAAACCTGCAGTTATTCCAACAGGAGAGGGGAAGGGCATGTCCTCAGCCCCGTCTCACTGCTAACACTGACCACGTGGGGGTCTTCTGACAGAGCTCCTTCCAGCTCTCTGCAGCATAGAAGGCGAACTCGAGACAAAGTCAGGCTTATGGTTCAAATCAG